TGACCATTTTTGCCGCAGTTTGTTAAATTAATCACTGCAGTTAAATTAGTAAGATGTTTTTTAAGTGAATCAGGCTTCCCCATTGACTTTGCTTGCAGAAGGTCAGCAAAAGCTGATCACATGTCCCCAGGACACTGCAACCGTCATAAATATGAGTCAGTTGCCAAGCGTCTGAATTTTGATCACGTAACCTTGGGGATGTTGCAATTGTTGTGAGTGTGAAAAATGGTCATAAGTCACTTTATTCACTGCCGTTGTAACTTTGAATGGTCATTAAATGAACTATTGTAAGTTGAGGACTAGCTGTACTATACTACACATTGTTAGATGGATAAATAAAGGTAATGTGAGTTTAGTGCATTTATACCTATGTCAAAGTTAGAATCTTAAGATAAGGGCATTGAAATTAGGAGCAATAGGTGTTTTAGTTATTATCTTGGGGTATTTTTTAAAAATGATGTTCATTCTCAAATCAGCACAATTCTCAAATTGTCACTAGAGGGCCTTCTAAGATAGTGTTTACAAGGAGCAATCTGAATTAATAGTAGCTGAGGATTTATTTCTAATCTAAACCAGTATTTAATTATTAAATGTACCAGGTACATTACATTTAATATGTGTAATGTGTGTGTGTATACAGGTGTGTGTATCGTTTTAAATCTTTAAATCTTTCAAAATTTAGAATACTTGTCCTTTTCAGGAAACAAGTTTCATTTCTAAGTCTAATTTTAAAATTTTATTGATATATCTATGTTTGCCTTTATGGTGCATTGTTGAAATGCAAATACTGCAATATATGTATTGGGTCACATGTTTGAACTAGCAGAATTGACATGATTGATTCTTTGCTTAGAGCAAATTACCTTGAAGCAAACTGGAAACAAAGTAAAAAAAATAGCATGTTATGTAAAAGCAAATATTCTAACCCATAAAATTGTTTCCATTAGTGTTAATGTTAGAAAACAGTATTTTAGACTAAAAATCTCTCATTCTTATTAGCTTGGTAAGAGATTCTTTAGAACACCTTTTTTTCAAAATAAAACAATATGTATTTATAAATGTTTCTCTTTTTACAAATCTAATTTCTGTATTTGATAAAAACATTAACATGGTATTTTGCTTTTAATAAATAATAACTTTTGGCATATGTTTATAATTAATTTGTATCCAGTACAAAATTGAAGTTCTGTAAATAAACCATTTCATTAGTTTAATGATGTGAATAGTTTCTGAAACTGTTAATTATAACACCATATAACTTTCAAGCCTGACTTTAGGGGTATGAGTATTATGAGTCCTCCGGGATTGGGCGGCCTATAAATAGATTTAATAAATAAATAAATAAATAAAATAAATGAGCCAGCAAGGACTTTTACAGTTGTCAGTTAAAGAAATATTTACTGTTAAATAGTTGCAAAATATTGCAAGGAAACAATTGCATTTTCTATTATTGATAAATGGAATTTGTGTATTCATTGACTCCTTGTATCAGTCTGATCACCTTCTTTCTAAGGCAAGTAGAAGCCATTTTTATTTCGCATCTTTTCATATACTGAAAATTAAGTGGATAAATATCGTGACTGTCCGAATTGATGCTGAGATCAGTCTACTTTAGACTTGTTTGTTTGATACAAATTAGCTCTAGTTTTTGCAAAAAATGTGATAGAACCTGCTCTACATTTTTAGTTGTTTCAATATTGAAACCAGGCTTGAATATTATTTTGTCCCAAATTGTCTAACAACGCTGCTTGATAGTTTTTATTCAATAATAATAATAATGCATAAAAATACTTTTTGAAACCAGTAGTTCTTGTTTTTACATCTGTCAGTGGGTAGTCATGTGCATTTACAGAGGACCAAATGGGAGCTGCCCAGATGTTATAAGCACAAACCTTTGCGACAGATTTCTAAATGCTTTGATGGATGTTTTTCCAATAATCAGGTTTTGCTTATAAACAATCTGGCTTCATAGGACAACAGTTGCTGTTCCCTCTGAGAATCCTTTCCCTTATTAATTTCTCATTGATGTACCCACTGTGTCCTATTAAGCTGTTTACTCAAACTGTACTAATTAGGCTTAGATAGAGGATTCCCAGCTCATCTAGTTCTTGTATCTCTTGAGAATATTCTGCTGAAGATATTCCAGCTTCATATTGCTTGCAGTAAATGGAAGAACTGAAGACCAGACAACGTTTGTTATGACTTGCGAACAACTGCATTATTTTAGGAAACTGCAGGGTATTTTTCTAGTTTCCAAATCAAAGCAAAATCCGACAGCTTTGTAAAGTTTATATAGCTCTTATTTGGGATGAGAGCAGAGGCTGCGTAGGCACCAAATTTTAAAACTGTTTTTAGTTATAAGTAATTTTGGGGATGTGTCATTGGCGAGAAATTAACTTTGTGGTGACTCCATCATGTTCCTTTCCCACTTGAGTGTTGTTCTGGTTGTCTGCATACTTCTACGTGCTGTTCAGCAAATGTTATGTTGTACGTACTGGTTTAATCCAAAATACGTTCTCTTGAGAGAGAGGCAATGGCATTGTCTATAGGCCAGTAGTTTGGGGAGCAACAGCTTCATCTTCACACTTGTATTTCTCACTGGACAATTGCCCATTCTCAATGCACAGAGAAAACAGATGAGGAAAAAAAGACGACGTAGATGCAATTTGAGCAGCACTTTATGCAACACGACTTAGTGGGTTGAGAGCAGTGGTGGGATCCTCCCGGTTTAACAACCGCTTCGGTGATCATGTGATTTGTGCGCACCTGTGCCCGTGCCTGATGCGCACTACGCATCCGTATGCAGTTTGAAGAAATCTTCACTTCCTGGTTTCTTCGGAGGAGTAACACAGCTGATTTGCACGGCAATCTGTTCTGCGCGAATCAGCTGAGAAATAGAGATAGGAAAATAGCGCTGGAGGGCAGGTGGGTCTATCTGATCGTTGCGGAGAGTCGAAGCTACCGATTCTCCCGAACCCGTCCAAAGCAGTAGAATCCCATCCCCGGTTGAGTCCTCCCTGGGCCCAGTTCCCTAAAAAGTGAAGGAAGAGAAAACTG